GGGCTCCAGTTTCATCCATCTCATTAGAACTGATTCAAATGAATTCTTTTTAATGGCTGAGTAATATTCCATGGTGTATATGTACCACAGCTTCCTCATCCATTCGTCTGCTGATGGGCATCTAGGTTGCTTCCATGTCCTGGCTATTATAAACAGTGCTGCGATGAACATTGGGGTGCACGTGTCTCTTTCAGATCTGGTTGAAACCATTTCTTAACAAATGCTGAGCCCATAGAAAAGTATGGATTTATTCACTACATTGACAAGTTAGAAGTGGGAAATTTGAAGTATATATATGTATACATATATACATATATATATTTGTATAAGGTACTGAGAAGGAAGATTAAGAGATGAAAAATATCCATTGGTAATTAAAATTTATGGAGATGAGATGCCAAGAAAAGAGCAAGCAAATAGAGAGATGGCTGTTTTGAAGATGAACCATAGTTCTCAGGAATCCAAGGATGTTGCCTATATATTGAGTTTGATAAGGAGAGTAAAAGCATAGGAAAGCCTTGAGGCCCTGTTCACTGAAGTATTATTAAAACTGTTATTTTTCAGAACACCAAACATTACGTAGCAGTGAGTTCCCTATTATGACTTGCTACTGTATGCTCCGCTTGCTACTGTATGCTCTGTATTTCTTTGGAAAATTAAGAAATCTACTTATATTCCAGCAATATAAGAGAGACATATTTATCGTGACATTTAAAAAAGACTTCCAAGTAGCTATAATTTTGAGTTGAAAAAAAGTCTTAATAATGCTTAACCTGTTGCTCAGATTTAAGGAGAAAGTTAAAGTAGAATACCACAAGAAGAATGCTATTTTCTATTCTTTCTAAAGCATGTTTATTTATCTGAGGTTTGGCTGGAACTTTTACAAAATCAGAGGAACTCAAGCTATGCTGAATTCAGTACCAAACACAACATCTTATAACACAGAAATCACTTAATAGTAACTTATTGAACAGAATTACATTATTGACTTTTCTTTTAGGATTAGAATTTAATTGAAAATGAGCAATCTGAATAATTCCTCTAACTATAAGCAAGTAAGATGCTAAAAGTCTTGGGCTAATATTTTAATATTCTGTTTTAACAGATGTTCCATTCAGCGCCACACCAGTGAATGCCTTTTATCAAGGCTGTATGGAAGTGAACATTAATGGTGTACAGTTGGATTTGGATGAAGCCATTTCTAAACATAATGATATTAGAGCTCACTCGTGTCCATCAGTTTGGCAGAAGACAAAGCAAACTTAAGGCATTTTTTCTCTGCTGATAATATCTTTTACCTGTGTGTAATTATACTTATGTTTCAGTAATAGCTGAAGTGTTTTACCTACAATGTGCATATCTTGATTATTTTGTGGTACTTTAACCTGCCTGAAATTTTTAAAAGGTCCTTTTTCAAGAAAACAAGATTCTCTTGTGATATGAATCACATTAAAAAATATTCTTACCTCTATTGCTGTCTAGAAATTAATGAAGCCTATAAAAATTTTTAATTTGAATTTTTTGTGACAAATGACATTTTTTCTTTTTTTATGTTTGTAAAAGTAAAGTTTAATTTTATCATCACGAGCTAGGGTTTAAATATCTGTTTTGTTTGTGTGTGTGTGGTGGGGGCGGGGCGGGGGAGAAGTCAAGGAAGTTAAACCTATTTTTAGAATCCAAACAAAAGTACCTCTGACTAAATTCCATTGTTACCTGTCTTCCTAAGTCAGTCTTCAAATAAGGGACGTTCTGCCTGGTGTAACTCGAACCAACAAGAGACCGAGTTTGGTTCGTCAGAAGCAAAGGAAGGTTATCCTTGGATCAGAGAATGAGAGGTGGGGGTTCCAGCTCTAGAGTAGAAGCTCTTCTGACAGGCTGTGGGCCGGGCTGCTTTACGGGGATCTCCTATGTAAAGTGGGGGAGGGTGGGCTGCGGTGGGAGGGGGTGGAGTTCTGGCAGAGCCGACTCAGCTTTGCTGCGCATGCTCCAGAACACAGCGTGGAGCGAAGCGTCTCCGCGCAGGGCCCGCCACCTCCGCCATCTTGATTTGAGGCTCCTGCGCGGTGTTTCTGCACACAGGTCCCTTACCTGAGGTGTTGGCACAGCCAGCTCACAGGAGGAACTCTGATCCAAAGGGCCATGTATGAGGCCTCTGTATGTGGCCCCTCTTTATGCAGACCCCTGTGAACAAGTGAAAACTGGAACAAGTGAAATTTAAGCACAAAGGAGAAGAGAAAACCTAGACTTTATTACCCAGATTATGTTTGTGTATCCCAGGAACTGTTAATGGGTTTTGCGGCTGACACTGTTGATCAGAGGAGATACTTTGTTTGTTTTCATTTTTTCGTAATGAAAGCAGAAGAGTTAAGTGTGAATTGTTAAGCGTGAATTGAGTGGAAGGCCCTAAAGCTTTATTCCAAAACAGTCTCTCAGGGAAACCAGCTTTGACTTCATCTTTCTTTCACCTGTTTTCACATTTGAATTAGGTAATGAGTGGGCTATTACTGAATTACATAATGAGTGGGACAAATTTTCATAAGAGGCAGCACATGAATTTTGCTGGTTAGTGACTGGATTTTATAAGGCTAATATATTGTGTTGGAATGGGTGTAGAAACCTGGGGTGGATACATTCCTTAAATCTGGCTGTGTGAGTCACACAAGTGTAGATTAGGAGAGGCAGAACCTAATGATGGAAAGAACAAATCAGAGAATGAATAATATGAAAGTTTCTGGTTTTCCCTGAATCAAACCTTAATTACCAGAGTACAATCCCAGACTGTGATTGTTGAAAAACAAAAGAAGCTATGAAAACTAGAACAAATTTTAATGAAAGGATAAACCACAGAGGGACATAGTTAATATTGTGTCTTTGTAATATCCTAACTTTAAAGTAAAGAGGTAAGATTTATGTATTTACTGGTAATGCATTTCAAGTGGCAGTTTTATTCTTCTCAAACCTACCATTCACACTGGGTATGTATTAGATGTTTCACTGATAGTGTTAGAAAGTAAACTTTTCTACTGTAGACATTTTACATTATGTAAGACATGATTAACTGGTGATATTTTGAAAATTTATGTGAATACTATATTCTTTCAAGTCTTTGAAGAGAACATAAAATTACATAACCATGTAACTCTTATGCAGCACAGTAGTTCTTTAAGAAAGACAAATGAAACTGTAATATTTGATTAGTAGTTATGGTTGAGTCATGGACTGGAGCTTAGAAAGGAAAGAGAAGCAAAAGTAACATGCTGAGTGTTTGACACATACCAGAAATCGTGCTAGATCATTTTACTGGATGTAGTTTCTCCCCTGGCTACCACCATGCATGGTGGATGGTGAATTTCAGTGAGCAACTATTGATAATTACAGTGGTGTAAAAAAAGTAAGGAAGTAGTAAAACTGGAAGTAAATGGAAATTCTTAAAAAAGAAGAAAGGAAAAAATGAATTTTCTTTCAGAAGGAATTCTCTAATTCTCATTTAATTATGCCCAGATACAAGGGTAGCTATGGGGGTCAATTTCACTTTTCCCATGAAAAACAGAAACTTTCCAACATGCATTGATCTTCATAGAGGTTCCAGAGACTCATTTATAAACAACATCCGTCTTTGAGATGCACCTAAACAAAGGCTTAGAAAGAGAAAGGGTCTGGATCTTTGATCTTGATCTTTGCCAGGATACACAGACTCTTTTAAAGAGTGGTAGAGAACAGTGGTTTCATGAAGGACAATTGGGATATTTGGTGCTTTTTGAGCTGTGTATCATGAGGAAATCTAAGTGACAGGGTCATTACAGAGTCCCATACCCTTTACCATTTGCAGAGATGGATTACATATCAGTGAAATAATGGTTAATTTGTGAGAACAGAGTTATTCATCTTTTTATCCTATTGGAAATTGTAATTCCAGTCTCAGTCACCATATGTGAGTCTTATAATGTATTTCAAATTTTTTTTTTCATTCTGGAGCTGGTATTATTGCTGGACAGAGGACTTTTTTCAACAATGTGTTTAGTAATTGCCTTTCTTTTAGAAATCCCTTAGGCCTTTAATCTCTATGGTCAGTGTAGAAGAAAACTGTTATTTAAAATAATTTCACTTCAGATGTCTTAATATTGTTACTGATAGTATGAGCTTGGGAGAAGACAGGGACTCTGGAAACTCCAGGGACAAATGTGGTAAAAATCTAATTTGTTCATCAACAAATATTCATCAAGCACCTAGTCTGTGCATGTGAAACTGAAGGTAGTAAAATGTCTGAAGAGCTAATTTCAACTGAATAGAAAGTGACAATACTCAGTAGGCCCATGAAAGTGAAAGTGCTCATCTCTCAGTCATAATTCAGCTCTTTGCAATCTCATGGACTGTAGCCTGCCAGGTTCCTCTTTCCATGGGATTTCCAGGCAAGAGTACTGGAGTGACTAGCCATCCCCATTTCCAGGGGTCTTCCCAACCCGGGGATTGAACCTGGATCTCCTGCATTACAGGCAGATTCTTTACTGCCTGAGCCACCAGGCCCATGGTAGACCTCAAATTCATGTTCTTTGAGCAGTCCTTTTAGATTGTCTCAGAAATTGAAGCAATAAAACTTAATCATTGTCCCTATATATAGGAATAGTTTGTTTCTTACAAATAAAACTGATTTGACAGTGATCTTGCACATGGGTTACTTGCCATAGCAGGCTTCCAGCTTTCATAGAGAACTTATATTTGAAAATTAGTTCTTATCCTATAGAAGAGGCACTGGTCAGAGGTGATGGGCTTGGGTCCAGCCCAGCCCATGGTTATCTTGTGGTCATGTTTACAGAGTGTGAAGGTGAGGAGTGATTACATGGAACAGCCTCCTATGAGGCCAGATTATCAAAACAGGTTATTGAACCAAGGTATGTGAAGCGAAGAGGATCAGAAATACAGGGGAACTGAGCTTAGAGCTGTTTGAAACAAGTGGCAGGGCATTGAGGCTGGGAATTTCCCAAGCCACCGTCTACTACTTTGTCAGTACTTTGGATCTGCAATTACTTTGTAGATAAGAATAGGACTTTTTTCAACAATGTGTTTAGTAATTGCCTTTCTTTTAGAAATCCCTTAGGCCTTTAATCTCTATGGTCAGTGTAGAAGAAAACTGTTATTTAAAATAATTTCACTTCAGATGTCTTAATATTGTTACTGATAGTATGAGCTTGGGAGAAGACAGGGACTCTGGAAACTCCAGGGACAAATGTGGTAAAAATCTAATTTGTTCATCAACAAATATTCATCAAGCACCTAGTCTGTGCATGTGAAACTGAAGGTAGTAAAATGTCTGAAGAGCTAATTTCAACTGAATAGAAAGTGACAATACTCAGTAGGCCCATGAAAGTGAAAGTGCTCATCTCTCAGTCATAATTCAGCTCTTTGCAATCTCATGGACTGTAGCCTGCCAGGTTCCTCTTTCCATGGGATTTCCAGGCAAGAGTACTGGAGTGACTAGCCATCCCCATTTCCAGGGGTCTTCCCAACCCGGGGATTGAACCTGGATCTCCTGCATTACAGGCAGATTCTTTACTGCCTGAGCCACCAGGCCCATGGTAGACCTCAAATTCATGTTCTTTGAGCAGTCCTTTTAGATTGTCTCAGAAATTGAAGCAATAAAACTTAATCATTGTCCCTATATATAGGAATAGTTTGTTTCTTACAAATAAAACTGATTTGACAGTGATCTTGCACATGGGTTACTTGCCATAGCAGGCTTCTAGCTTTCATAGAGAACTTATATTTGAAAATTAGTTCTTATCCTATAGAAGAGGCACTGGTCAGAGGTGATGGGCTTGGGTCCAGCCCAGCCCATGGTTATCTTGTGGTCATGTTTACAGAGTGTGAAGGTGAGGAGTGATTACATGGAACAGCCTCCTATGAGGCCAGATTATCAAAACAGGTTATTGAACCAAGGTATGTGAAGCGAAGAGGATCAGAAATACAGGGGAACTGAGCTTAGAGCTGTTTGAAACAAGTGGCAGGGCATTGAGGCTGGGAATTTCCCAAGCCACCGTCTACTACTTTGTCAGTACTTTGGATCTGCAATTACCTTGTAGATAAGAATAGCATCCAGAGAACTTACTGACTCAGTCTTTGCTGACCTACTTCCCACACGAAGCCCCTTCCAAAAAGAATCCTAATTATGTGAGAGAATAATGTGATGAAGTTTGAACTTTACTAGTGAGAAATCATCTTTCTTGCTCAAGTTTTAAACGGTGGAATCTGAAGTCTCATTCTGTAACTTGTCTCTAGATGAAAAAACCACTTGTTTAACTCTGATTATTTCTCTAAACTGATTTGAAGAAAAGGAAGATGGGGATAGTATCTAGCTGATGTAGGAAGGCTCTAACATTATTATCTGTAGTTCACAAAAATAAACACCCTACTTATTTAAACATGAATAATAAATATAAAATAAATAAGGTGCAATGAGTATAAAAGTTTAAACAAAGCATTTTGGACACTGGAGCTGAGGCTGAAGCCTTCAGAGATGAGTATCTTCCTGAGCCAACTTGGCATGTATAAGGTAGCCAAAGAAACTAAAAGCTGGCTCTTCTGAAAACAGG